GTCGATTCGCTGCGCGTACGGTGCTGTGCTGGAGATGACTTTCGAATGAGTTGATTTCGTGAGAGGCCTTGACGACCTTGGCGATGAGCTGGGCCATGTTCATCTCAATATGGAGTTTGGCGAGATAGGCAAGAGGGTGGAATTGGGCGTAGCTGTGACAGTTAGCACCAGAGGGCGCAAGCATACAAATAATTTACCCACATGAAGGTATTCGGCAAAGACATGAGCCCGATGATCATGATATCGAGAGACATGGAGATGCAGATCATGGCCAGGTTGAAACGAAACAGCACGGTGTACTTGGTCAGTCCGGACGCGATCAGTCGCGACCTGACAAGATAGATGAATGCGAGGTTGAGCCCTAAATCAATGACGAGGAAGATGCCCTTCTCGATGCGGTCCCAGATGTTATTGGCATGAATGATGCCCTCGCTGATCTGCAGGCGTGCAGGGATCCAAACGCAAAAGACGCTGATATTGATGGCCAGCAGCACGAGGAACACACCCCATTTGAGACGAGTTGCGTGAGCTGGAACGTGCATGAGGAGGGCGATGCGATTTATGATGATTTGCATGAGGCACTGAACCTGGATCGACCAAAAGACGACTGGCGCGGTCAGCAAAATGTTTGCGAACAGAGCTTCTATAATCAATCGAGTCTGTCTCCGGCATGACTTACGGACGAAGAAGAAGAACTCAAAGCTGTCGGACGTCAGCATCACAGATCTCTTCAAAGATGAGGTTCACGGTCGTCTTGCTCACCTGGGTCCGAACCATCCTCGAAGGAAGATCCAAGAGATGATGCCGATGATCATGCAGGAAATCCACTCGGCCCATATCAGCGCAATGTAGGCGTTAACTCGGTGTATCTTGTTCAGCGTCGCCATGGTCTGCTGGATCGCCTTGGTACCGGTCCAGACACCCAGTCCTAGCGTGAAGCCCCAAAAGATGCTCGCGATGTTCTCCTCATCTCGATTCGGAGGGTTGGGCTTGTACCAGGGCGGCACAAGCGTACCTCCCGGGCTGTCGGACATTTCGGTCTTGACAGCGGTGGTCGGTCGTTGACGGCTATCAGTACATGCGTAGCGTGCAGAATGCGAGGCGACGCACGAGGTCAAGATGTAGAAATGTCGGGCACCGAACACGGTCAGCCTCCCGAACACACAGATGCAGCGAAGACAGTCAATTGAATCATGACAAGAAAAAATAAAAAGCCTACCCGCCAGCAGCAGGTTGCGAGGTAGAAGAAAGCCGGATGGCGCCCGCGGTGCAGCCTTCCCAAGGGTGGACTGATGCATGGGGGGGCGTTCGCGGCGGACCATCCGATGGACGCCGGCGCCAACTCTAATCCTGTTGCTGGCGAAGACACGGATCCAGATGCCGATCAGATCGTGCACAATTGGCAGGCCACACTGCGACACTCGGACATTGTGGGTTTCGGGGTCCAATATAATCAGGTCCAATTCTCTAGCTAGTATCGCTCGAACACCTAACGGTGACGTACTACTGCAAATACCTGACTTGCCATGAAAGAAAGATGCGAATCTAAGAAACTGGTGACAAAGGTTTCCGTCGGAGATGCAAATGTCCTGCTGGGTACTCGGTCACTGCCGGCGACTACTGTGACCGCAGCCGACAAACGACTTCAGATCCTTGCCCTCACAAGGGAACAGGCGAGTGAAACATGGGAGAAGGGGGGTTAGCGTTGGGGTGCGTCGACGGCAGCGGGATGTGTTGAACGGCGACTTGTTCGTTGGTCTTTCATCGCTGCGATCTAAGACGTCGCTTTCGGCTGGTTCGGCTGGCCAGGCTGTCTTATCCGACAATGGCAAACGGCTTGTCGGGACCGGGCTGGTGGGTGGTTGGCCATGGTCATTCGCGTCGTGGAATGCAATGTCATCAAAACGCAAGGATGTAGCAGGATGCAGAGGCTGCCAAAGGGAAGCGGTGACAGTGACTGATCGTCCCAGTCTATTGAAGCACGTTGCTTCTTCGTGTGCTGTGCAACCCAGCAACTTCACTGGGGGGATCAGGTGTCTCAAATCCAATCTGAACGCAGTCGTCAGCTTGTGGCCCAGGCTGGAGTGACACCTCACTTGGTTGCGGAAGTTGTGCTGTGGCTTGCAATGCGTCGAAAGGTGTCACATGCCTGGATAGCCAACCACCACTGAAGTAGCCACCAGGAGAGCACTGAGCCACAAGGCCGCGAAGGCGCAAAGCACCTTGAAGCGCGCTTGCCAGGAATGCTCAGTTGTTGATCGCTTCTTTCAATAGTCGCACGGTGCTGGTGCCCATCTGCGCCAGATTGGCCCAGATGCTGACCTTGTCGACGAAGACTTGGGGCTGGCCCAGTGTCGATTCCTCCTTCCTCGCGTGCTGTGGTGGCTCGCGAGGCTTGAAGATGGGATCGTCGGTGCGGGGCAGTCGGGGCGCTGCCGCCGTGACAGCTGTGTCGGCCTTTGCATCCAGTGGTGGAAGAAGAGACTTGACTTTTTGTTCGGGTTGGCTGGTCATGTTGATGCTACAGTTGGCAGTGCGAGGAGTAGAGCGCGGGATTCCTTCGTGGCTGGCAACATGTCTTATGTACGAACGACCTGTCACCCCGACAGCACATATATTTTCGGCCTGTAGGATCCTTGCTGGGATAGTTGCTCCGCCACCTCGTTCAAGACCACTTCACGTCATCGGCAACAGCTGGAAGTAGGCGGCGCATTCGCCGTGCCTGCGCCGCCTTCCCTGTACAGGGCCTCGCTCGACAGGCGAAGGATTGTTTGGGGTCGGGGTCCGTATTCGCATTGCTGTTGCGCTGTCATGTCCATAGCAGCACGCCCTGCCAGAGCAGACCGCCACTTCAAGCCGATGCCAGAGAACAGTGGAAGCTGAATACTGACCTGAGCAGTGCGACGGACAAGACATTGTCGACATGGCACAAAATACTGACCATCGATGGACCCCGCTTCCTCGCAGCTTCAAGGCAGATGGAGAATGAGAAGGCCTCTCAGAGGATTCCTCCAACAAAGCAGAATCACAGCCCTACTCGTGGGCCAGAGCAACAGGGGCCCCCACGTACGTGCCGCACCAGCCCTCCGACGTGTGCGTCCACGCTCAGAATGCTCGCTGCTGACTTTTGGGGGAATTTCCCCGAACGTTAGCGGAGCTTGTCATTGATGTGTCATGCAGGTCGGCACAAATGGCCATGTTGAGACGTCCGGTTCGAATGTTCAATGCTACAGACGGTAGTGAGCAAACGACGATTCGTGGGGTGGTTGGAAGCTCTCAGCTCTCAGCTCTCAGAAGGGTCGCCTCGCGATCGAGCTGTTCATTCGTCAGACGGCTTTCCAGGAATTTGGGCGAGCAGCATGAGAAAGTCGTCGATGACTGGGGCAGGTCATAGAGGACGGAAAGCACTGATGGCAGTGTTCATGGACAACTTGGAGAGGCAGAAGGAGCATCAAACACTGACTGGCCGGCCGAAGGTCAGCACAGTCGATCTTTCCCCAGATTTTGTGGCCCATCGCCGTCACCAGGAGCAGCTGCCACCCGCCGCTCGAGCCAAGCACGACCCCCCCAATACCTCCAACGTCCGACGGAACACCGTCACCCGAAAGTCCTAGGGCCAATCATGGTCGCGAATTCCCAATGCTCAAGGGGTCCAGGAGGGCAGGAGGGCTTCCATGTCTCATGATGTCCCCCGCCTCGGCCCAACTGCTCAACCGACCCGGCACCTATTACGCCTCCGTCGCGTACCTATGTGTGTGTGCGCTTGGGGCAAGCATGACAGGGACAGGTGAAGAAAGGGTGAGGGAATGGAGGACAACAGAGGAGAGGGGTCCATTGGGGGGGCAGTTACGTTCGAAGCTTCTGACTTTGCGCGCGATGTCACGGCACGACAATCCCTCCGTCTCGATGCCCCGTTTTCATCATATCGACGTCCGACGATACCGAGTTCAGGGTCATTCTTCTCCTTCTTGAACCATCACGTTTCGATTGACCCCCGGATACCAACCATCACGACAGAGCAACACCAGCAACAGCCATCGATAACTCACACCCATCCGTCCCTCGCAGAAAGCAGCATCTCCCATCATGGTCTCGACACGCTCCACCACCATGTCCTCCCCGCCCTCCTCTCCCACCAAGACGACGGCGACAAAACGCTCCACCGCCCTCGTCGCGTCCGCCTGGTCGCACCGTCCCTCGAACTTAACCCTCGCCTGGCTCGCCGTCTCCCTGCCCCTCGTCGCCTGGGACACGGGCTACGTCATGCTGCGCCCACACTCGATGCCCGGCGGCGCCTGGCACGCGCCCCTCTGGACCCCCTACGAGCTCTACGGCCGCATCGACGGCGTCTACGGCCTCCAGGCCTACGAGGCCGGCGACGGCTTCACCGCCGCCCAGGCCTTCCTCAACATCGTCGAGACGCTCATGTACCTCGCCTACCTGTGGCTGTGTCTGCGTCGCGGCGCCCCCTCGCCCGCCGAGGGTCCCGCCGGCCGCCGCGTCGTCACCGGCCGCGAGGGCGGCGCCGCCGTGCTCATTGGCTTCAGTGCGGCTGTCATGACCCTCAGCAAGACGGTCCTCTACTGGATGAAGGAGTATTACTCTGGCTTTGCCTATATCGGGCACAACACGGCGCTGGATCTTATTTTCCTGTGGATCATCCCAAAGTGAGTCTTCTTCCGGGCCCCCCTTCCTAAAGCTTGACGGCATAGAGGCTGATCTCTTGTGTCTGCAGTGGCGCGTGGCTTGTCGGCTCGTCGTACATGATTATGTCGCTCGGCGGCGAAATTCTCGATGGTCTGGCCCCGGAGACGAAGAGGGCGAAGAAGGAGTAGATGTACATCGTGGTGTGTTCTGTCAAAGCGCACACATGGTGCACATGGTGGGCTAGAGAGGTGATATGGATCAATTGCGGATGCCACGTGCCCTATTTCCATGGCGGGAGCCAAATACATGGAGTATAATACTGCAACGTGATTGACATACTAGGAACGTCCATTTCCACATATCATTTATAACATTGACGAGCGTTTTGCGTTCGCGACGCCGTGCGCGAAATCAGAATTATGTCCACACTGTCATTGATTATGGTAAAAATACAACATGATGGTTCCCAAGCCTTCGTTCCCCGTCATTACCTGCATCCAAGCACTGCTCAGGGACACCGTCATCGTCCACCTAATGCTGCCCCGCAGCCCGACCAAGAAAGAATGGGGTATCGGGTATAATATCGGTCCAAAGCACAAAAGAAATTTTTAAATGATAGTCCAGAGATATAATTCGTGATCTCTCGTTTTCGTGAAAGGAAGGAAATCGGAGAATGGTCACTCCAGT